TTTTTTTTTTTCCTAAGTTGTCCTTGAGTAATTTGCTAAATTTGTTGTTGCTCTTTAACCTTAAAACAGTTGTTGATGTGCTTTGACATTTTATTTGCTTACAGTTACTTATGTTGTTTGAATTCTGTATATCGAAATGTACTGTATGTGTACCATCTGTATATCTGGGAGGGAGATTAGTTTAACAGCTGACATGAGATCAGTTAAGCTGGCCATACACTGCTCAGATTCAGCAGGAATCTTGACAAAATTTGTAGGCAGCCCTGTAGACAATGCCAGGCTTGACATAAATTCCAATTTTCAATCAACTGTTGTCAAAGGAGCAGGGTGGAAAATTTTCAGCCCAACAGCACCTGAACCCAATTCGATGCAGTCTCTGTTTGGGTATTCTGACAGCTGCTGGTCCTGGTTGCTAAATGCAACAGCCGGCAGAGGAGATTCCTTAATCCATGCTTAACGAGAGAAACCTAAACTGTATGGACAGCTTTAGTTATACAAGGGGTTAATTTACTAAAGGAGTAGAGACTTTTCATCTAACTTACTTTGCTAAGTGAATGTTAGTGAATAAGTCTGAAGCTGTGTTCACTTTAAAATGTATGTACTAGTACAAATCTTTTTTTCAACTCGCACATAACTGGGTATTTAAAATGAAGACAGGTTCATCTTATTTACCATCTTTCCGTTTGCAAATGGATTATTCACATTGTTAGGTGAACAGCATTTAATATAGAATGCATAAAAGGGAGAGGTGCAGCGCTAACTTGATAAATATACGCTTATATAAAACCAATGTTAAGGTGCTGTTAAAGTGCAAAACGGTGACTAAAATAAGTTATAGTCCATAACGTGTTCAAAACCCAAGAGAGTCTTCAAAGAACTCCAATGCCTGGATTCGTGGATGAGGTGATAAAAGTATAAAGATTGCGCACTCACCAGATACGCAATCCAAATGCGCATTCAAATTAGCTAACCCCCTATGACTACGTGCCTTTGCACGAAAACGCGTCAGGGAGCGGCTACAGCGGTTTTGTGACGTCACGCCGACCGGCGCCACGAGGGCCCCGGCGGCCATTTGTTATCTTTGTATGGTCAGTATCTCTCCTGCCTCTGCTTGTATATTGTGTGTCTTTGGGAATAAATACCCCTTGCCTATAAGGTATCACACTATTTGGCCTCCTTTGTTCTTTGGGCTCCGGTGGGAGCCCTTTACATCTGCAGAGCGGCCTTTTTTCTTCTATGCGTGGCAAATACTATCAAGTGGCGAGGGGCTTTTGTGACCAGATCTGACCAGATCCATATGAGGACCCTAGGATTATCTGCTTTGAATGCGCATTTGGATTGCGTATCTGGTGAGTGCGCAATCTTTATACTTTTATCACCTCATCCACGAATCCAGGCATTGGAGTTCTTTGAAGACTCTCTTGGGTTTTGAACACGTTATGGACTATAACTTATTTTAGTCACCGTTTTGCACTTTAACAGCACCTTAACATTGGTTTATATAAGCGTATATATTTATCAAGTTTAGCGCTGCACCTCTCCCTTTTATGCATTCTGATTATTGTGAAGGTTTTTATGGTACCTTTTTGGTGTTCAGCTGCTATTTTCTCGTTTTAATTTTGTTCACTTATTGATTTTATAAGTTGTTTTAAGCGCTCACTTGTCTTGAGATTTACTATAGCATTTAATATAGAATTCTATCTTAAATATAACTAGCCTTAAAAATGTGCCATCCCCCCCCCTTTCTAACACCTATGCTGACCAACACTATATTGCCAAAAATATTGGGACACCCCTCCAGATAATTTAATTCAGGTGTTCCAGTCACCTCCATGGCCACAAGTGTATAAAATCAAGCACCTAGGCATGCAGACTGCTTCTACAAACATTTGTGAAAGAATGGGTCGCTCTCAGGAGCTCAGTGAATTCAAGCGTGGTACCGCGATAGGTTGCCATCTGTGCAATAAGTCCATCCGTGAAATTTCCTTGCTACTAAATAGCCCACAGTCAGCTGTTAGTGGTAAAGTGGAAGCAACTGGGAACAACAGCAATGGGCCACAAAGTGGCAGGCCACGTAAAATGACAGAGCAGTGTCAGCACATGCTGAAGCGCACAGTGCGCAGAAGTTGGCAACTGTCTGCAGAATCAATAGCTAAAGACCTCCAAACTTCATGTGGCCTTCAGATTAGCACAACAACAGTGTGTAGAGAGCTTCATGGAATGGGTTTCCATGGCTGAGCAGCTGCATCCAAGCCTTACATCACCAAGTGCAATGCAAAGCTTCGGATGCAGTGGTGTAAAGCATGCTGCTACTGGACTCTAGAGCAGTGGAGACGTGTTCTCTGGCGTGAAGAATCATGCTTCTCTGTCTTGCAAACCGATGGATGTGTCTGGGTTTGGCGGTTTCCAGAACGGTACTTGCCTGACTGCATTGTGCCAAGTGTAAAGTTTGGTGGAGGGGGGATTATGGTGTGGGGTTGTTTTTCAGGGGTTGGGCTTGGCTCCTTAGTTCCAGTGAAGGGAACTCTTAAGGCGTCAGCATACTAAGACATTTTGGACAATTTCATGCTCCCAACTTTGTGGGATGGCTCCTTCCTGTTCCAACATGACTGTGCACCAGTGGTCTTTTCTGTTGAGCAAGTTTGGGTGGAGGAACTTGACTGGCCTGCACAGAGTCCTGACCTCAACCTGATAGAACACCTCTGGGATGAATTAGAGAGGAGACTACCAGCTAGGTCTTATCGCCTGACATCAGTGCCAGACTTCACAAAATGCGCATCTGGAAGAATGGTCAAACATTCCCACAGATACACTCAACCTTGTGGACAGCCTTCCCAAAACAGTTGAAGCTGTTATAGCTACAAAGGGTGGGCCAACTCAATATTGAACCCTTCGGACTAAGACTGGGATGCCATTACAGTTCATGTGCGTGTAAAGGCAGGCATCCCTATACTCTTGGCAATATAGTGTATTTACCTATTTTCAGCCCCTTTTTGGTCCAGTCACATGATCCCCTGTGTCAGCCAGCAGCAGCTGCTGTGGAGAAGAGAGCATGCTCGACAATGGCTAGTAAAGCCTTAAGTGTTGATGTCACCAATAGGCTTTAATGGCCCCGCTATTGTTGGCATTCCATCCTTTTCCCTGCAGCCATCGCTGGCTGACACAGACATGGAGTGGGCTGAAAATAGGCAAGTATATACATTTTTTTTTTACACAGGATAGTCAGCATAATTACAGTGCCTTGAAAAAGTATTCAGACCCTTTGAAATTTTCCACGTTCTGTCATGTTACAACCAGAAATGTAAATGTATTTTATTGGGATTTTATGTGATAGACCAACACAAAGTGGCACATGCTTATGAAGTGGAAGGAAAATGATATATGGTTTTCAACATTTTTTACAAATAAATATCTGAAAAATGTGGGGTGCATTTGTATTCAGCCCCCCTTTACTCTGATACCCCTAACTAAAATCTATTGCAACCAATTCCCTTTAGAATTCACCTAATTAGTAAATAGAGTCCACCTGTGTGTAGTTTAATCTCAGTATAAATACAGCTGTTCTGTGAAGCCCTCAGAGGTTTGTTAGAGAACATTAGTGAGCAAACAGCATCAAGAAAACCAAGGAATACACCAGACAGGTCAGGGATAAAGTTCTGAGAAGTTTAAAGCAGGGTTAGATTATAAAAAATATCCCAAGCTTTGAACATCTCACAGCACACTGTTCAATCCATCACTGGAAAGAGTATGGCACAACTGCAAACCTACCAAGACATGGCTGTCCACATAAACTGACAAGCCGGGCAAGGAGAGCATTAATCAAAGAAGCAGCCAAGAAGCCCATGGTGAAACTGCAGAGATCCACAGCTCAGGTGGGAGAATCTGTCCACAGGACAACTATTAGTCGTGCACTCCACAAATCTGGCCTTTATGGATGAGTGACAAGAAGAAAGTCGTTGTTGAAAAAGCCTTAGGAGGTCCCTTTTGCAATTTGCGAGAAGCCATGTGGGGGACACAGCAAACGTAGAAGAAGGTGCTCTGGTCAGATGAGACCAAAATTGAACTTTTTGGCTTAAAAGGAAAATGCAATGTGTAGCAAAAAACGAACACTGCACATCACCCTGAACACACCATCCCCAACATGAAACGTGGTGGCAGCATCATGTTGTGGGTGATGCTTTTCTTCAGCAGGGACAGGGAAGCTGGTCAGAGTTAATGGAAAGATAGATGGAGCCACATACAGGGCAATCTTAGAAGAAAACCTGTTAGTCTGCAAAAGACTTGAGACTGGAGCGGAGATTCACCTTCCAATAGGACAACGACCCTAACCATACAGCCAGAGCTACAATGGAATGGTTTAGATCAAAGTGTTATCATGTGCTAGAGTGGCCCAGTCAAAGTCTAGACCTAAATACAATTGAGAATCTGTGGCAAGACTTTAAAATTGCTGTTCACAGACGCTCTCCATCAAATCTGACAGAGCTTGGGCTATTTTACAAAGAAGAATGGGCAAAAAAATGAACTCTCTAGATGTGCAAGCCTGCTAGAGTCATCCCCAAAAATACTTGCAGCTGTAATTGCAGCGAAAGGTGGTTCTACAGGGGGGCTGAATACAAATGCACACACTTTTCAGATATTTGTAAAAAAAATTGAAAACCATTTATCATTTTCCTTCCACTTCACAACCACTTTGTGTTGGTCTATCACATAAAATCCCAAATACCACTACATTTACATTTTTGGTTGTAACATGACAAAATGTGGACAATTTCAAGGGGTATGAATATTTTTTCAAGGCACTGTATAAGGAATAAGGGGGCATTTGTAAGGCTGGTTAGGTTTAAACTGGAATTCCACTTTAAAAAAATCATCTGTCATTGCTTTCAAATAGCCCGACCAGAATGGTAATCTTGCATTGAGAGAGGTGAACAGTAAAGTACAACCACCATGCAGCAGCATTAAAGCGTTACTAAACCCACAACAGTAAAATCAGTCTATATGCAGTAAAGCATGCTTGTTATACTCATTCTGCAAACTAAGGGGTTATTCCTCTGCATTGTGCAAAAAGGGTGTTTGATCCTGTCTTCTCTGATCCTCCCCTTCTTCCAGTGTCCTCTTATCACCTGATAAGACATGTGTGGAGTCACTCTAGCAATACATATCAGTTTGAGCATGTGCTAGAGTTTTTTTTTTTTCTTGGTAAGAGTTCATGTGATCAGCACAGGGCCAATCAGAGCTGTCCAGACAGAGGGTCAGGGGTCATGCAGTCTCATATGACAATCAGAGCAGAATGAAAACTCCTCCTACAAGCTTTAACATGTACTCTGCTGGACACTGATAGAAGTCACATGACTGCTGTAACTGCTGAAGAGAAAAACCAGAGTTAGACTTACCGGTAACTCTGTTTCCAGTAGCCTTCCAGGGCAGCCCTTGGGAGATGGAGCTCCTCCCCTCCAAGCGGGAAACACATTGTCACTTCGTCTTTTAAGGCAGTCCCTCAGGCCCATGACCAGTTATCCATAGCAACTAAAGGACGGATCTGAAAGATATATCAAACAACAAAACACCAAACAACTTTTAAATCCTAGGGTGGGAACGTGCTGTCCTGTAAGACTACTGGAAACAGAGTTACCGTTAAGTCTAACTCTGGTTTTTCCCAAGTCATTTTTGCAGGCCAGCCCTTGAGAGGATAAACAAGTATTTACCAGATTAGGGGGGGAACCACTGCTTGGAGGACCTTCCTCTCAAAGGCCTGGTCTTACTGGAGATAAGGTCCAGATGGTAATGCTGGAGAAAAGCAGAGAACCTGGACCAGGTTTGCTGCCTTGCAAATTTGCTCTGGGGTAGCTCCCATTTTTTCTGCCCACGTAGCCAATGAAGCCCTAATGGAGTGTCACTTGAAATTTAGAGGGTCTTCTTGCAGAGAGCACTCAAGGTAAACGGATAGAGCCGCTATTTGCACTTTTAGAGTACTCAGCTTAAGTCTCTTTTCTAACCCCTGCTGCAGGAATTCTAGAATAGTTGGAGTGTCCTATACTCAATTTATTGTTTTCACTGCATCATGAGTGTAACTTTTTCCACATCTTTTTGTAAATGGCTCTGGCATTTGGCTTCCTAACGCTCAGTAAGGTCACCACAACCTTGTCTGAGAGCCCTTTTGCCTTTAACAACTTCTTTTCAGAAGCCAGGCTGTCCACTTGAAATCTCCTGGCTTGAGGTGGTGACAAGGCCCCTGCCGCATCATATCTTTCCTGAGGGGAAGCAGCCAAGGTTGTTCTTTCGAAAGGGAGAGGAGTTGCGAGAACCACACCCCCCTGGGCCAGAATGGAGTGATCAAAATTAACGTTGCCTTTTCTAGTAGGAATTTGTTCAAAACTCTGGGGATCAGGTGAACTGGGGGGGAAGGTGTGGCACTTCCCAAAATTCCAAGGATTCTGGAGAGCGTCAACCGCCATGGCTGGATCTTGTGGATATAGTGAATAAAAAAGATCCAGTTTTGTATTTATGGCTGATGCAAAAACATCTATTCCTGGCATCCCCCAACGCTCTGTAATTTTCGCAAACACGTCCGGATGCATTTCTCTTGCAACAATTCATGGTGACTGAGGAAATCTGTCACTTGGTTGTGATCTCCTTTTAGGTGAACTGCTGACAGGGATAAAATATTCTTCACCACCCACCAGCAGATCTGATTTGAAATCGTGATTAAGAAAGGGCTCCTGGTGCCCCCGTTTATTTAGATATATGACTGTCCTCGAATTGTCGGATAGGACCATGAGGTGGTGAACCCTCACCTGATCCTGACAATAGGAAATTGCTTTTGCTACCGCCATAAGTTCTCTCCAATTTGAAGTGGCCTGGGCTTCCTCTAGGATCCATTTTCCTTGGGCTGGCTGCCCCCCCCCCCCCCCCCCCGTAGATGGGCTCCCCAGCCCCACTTGCTTGCATCTGTTGTCAGCTTCTGCAAAATCGGAAATGACCAGAGCAATCCCTGATATAAATGTGTGCGGTCTCTCCACCACCATAATGCCCTCTTCATTGCTGCTGGCAGATGTACCTTCCTGTCCAGGTCCTCCTTCCCTTGTACTTGCAGTAGAAAGGACTGTAAGGGCCTTAGATGGAACTTGGTCCACTGTACAGCTGGGATTGCTGATGCCATCAAGCCTAGTACCGAGTTCTCACACTGACACGCTGATTGTTCTGTGGAGCCCCCACTCTTCTGATTAGACTTTCTCTTCTGGAAGCACTGTCTTCTGGTCTACTGAACTGAGATAGTATCTTAGAAACAGAATATTTTGAGTGGGACAAGGATTTGACTTGTCCAGGATGAGAATCCATCCCAGGGACTTCAACCACTGTTGTGCTTGAATCAGATTTTCTGTCAGCTGTGCTTCTGTGGGGGCCAAAAACAGGAGGTCATTCAGATACGGAGCTACTATTATGGACTTCAACCTTTACGGTGCTAGAGCCTCTGCCTATACCTTCTTAATATATTCTCGGTGAAAAGGAAAGGCCAAAGGGAAGCACTCTGCTCTGGAAGTGACATTCCTTTCCATTTATCTCCACCGCCAGCCTCAAGAATTTCTGGGTGTCTTCTCAAATGGGACATGGAGGTAGGCATCCCTCAATTCCATAGTTGCCATGAACGCTTTTTGGTAAAGTATATTTTTTTATCGCAAAAGTTGATTCCATACGGAATCTTTTGTAACAAATTGCCTTGTTCAAGGGTTCGAGATTTAGAAACAGACGAAATTTTCCAGACAGCTTCTTGACCACAAACACATGGGAATAAAACTGCTTTCTTCTCTCGGAAATAGGATGAGCACTCCTTGGTCTACCATTTTCCCAGGAGGAGAGGGAGCGCTTGATCCTTTTTGGGATCTCCTGAAAGTCTTGTCAGAAGAAATCTATCTGGAGGGATGGTGTTGAACTCCAGAGCATAACCCTTGTCGATGATTAGGACATATTTGGCTGAAATCTTCTGCCACTGGGAAGGAAGGTAGTCAACCTTCCTCCTACTGGCGTCCTGAAGTCACTATTGTGCTTTTTTTGGCTGTTCCCTTCTTTCTTGTTGTGGACAGTCCTTTTGGCCCCGAAAAAAAACCTCCTCTGGAAAGGTTTTTATTTTTCTGCTGTGAAGGCCTTCTCTGCTGTTCTCTCCAAGGCCGCATCCAAACCTGGCTTGAACAGCAGGTCTCCTAAAAAGGGAAGATTACATAATCTTAACTTAGATGCTGTATCCCCGGACTGGGTTTTTACCCAGACAGCCCTTCTAGCTGCCACTGTCAAAGCCCCTGCTCTTGCGGTGAGCTTTACCAACTCAGCGAATGCATCTGTGATGTAACCGACTGCTTTGAAGAGAACCAGCATGGAATTCAGAATCTCCTCCCTTGGCGTGCCATTCTTAATGTGATCTTGTAACTCATTCAACCAGAAATCCAAAGTTCTTTCGACACAGGTTGTAGCTAAGGTGAGTTTTAGGCTAGCCAAAATAGTCTCCCAGGCTCTTTTAGTACCACATCTGACATCACCTGGTGAACCGGAAATACCTTAGTTTTCTTTTTCTGTAACGCCGATACATCAGTTCATGTTTTAAGGGTTGACCCTTCTTTTCCTCAATTTCTAAGGTCTGGTAGATGGTCGATAATAGGTCTTCCACATCATCTAAGGATAAGTTAAATTTAGAGCCTTTCCTTTCCTCCTCCTCCTCTTTCATGCTCTGATTCCGAACTGGAAGCATCCGCATCACTAGCCACCAGGCTAACTGCTCTGTCCACTGCAACATCCTAAGACTCTAAAACCATCAACCCTGGCGAGGCTATGGGTGAGGACTGACTAGCTGGAGCAGCTAGAGTTCTGATGTCTGCAGTCAGCTTCTTAAACTCCTTAAAAGGTAGAGGCCATTTCCTCCTTGACTGATCAAAAGAAATTTGCATAAAGGGTGTCCGATTCTTTTTTTAATAAATGGGTAACACACTGTTTACAAAGCAGTTCTGTGTGCTCTGTAGGCATCTTCGTCCCACATTTTGCACATCACTTTTTGGTAATGGGCTTTGGGCTCTTTAAGCAGCTTCACCTGCCAAGACATAAAACACAGGGGGCCACCCCAGTGGTCAATAAATGACTCCCCACAAGAAATGTGCTCACCTGGTAAACAACGCTGCTCTCCTGCTGTGCCCCAGACTGATAAGCATCACCAACATCCTAGATGCTCTGACCCAAACAACTTTGACACAAAGGACACCCACTGGTGCCTACCTGCGTCCTGCTGGTACCTGTTTCCTGCAAAGCCTGTGCAGATGGCAGTTCCGGCTTTCCGGGTCAAGCGGACCAACTGCAGAAGCTCCGCTCCCCACTGGGACCACCAAGGGGATAACTGCCTCGATACCTCTCGTCCACACCTGGGGTCAAAGGGAGGGGCAATGGATCACCTCCCACCTTCTGCAAAGAAGGGATCACCGTGGCCCAAAAAAAAAAGACCGACCTCCACCACCAACAGTCCCCTGGAAGGTAAAGATGACCTCCCTAGACTGGAGCTCTCTTCCAGGCAGCCCTTAAGAGCCCTCTGGCGGTCCCTCAGGCAACATGTCCCCTCCGGATGGAGGAAACACAATAACTGCTCATGGGCCTGAGGGACCTCCTTAAAAAATGAATTGGCAATGTGTTTCCTGATTGGAGGGGAGGAGCTCCATCTCTCAAGGGCTGGCCTAGATGACAACTCGGGAAAAGGTATTTAACAGTTTATATTTACTAATGTAATTGCAATTCCATGTTCTGTGTATTGAGGAAGACTGGATATAGTGAATGCAGGATCCTGGGTTTAGTAACACTTTAAGTGGAGAGCACTGAATGTATGGCTGCCTCCATGAACATACATATTTACAAACTACGCACATAAAAAACATACATTATACACCAACCAATAAGGTTATCTACATAAGGCTAATCATATTTATCTGTTAAAAGAACTTTAAACCACAATATAATCTTTTTATAATGTGTTATCTTCTTGTCTACATTCTGCTTCTGCATTTCCTTTCAGCTGTCATAATGGTGTCTCATATTCTACTTATCATTGTTGCTTTTGCTGTTTTTATCACCCAGATTGTACTAAGTAGACTGTCAGATTCACTGCTCACGCTTGCGGACTCGGCACATACGCTGTCTCTTATAATTGCTCTGTGCCCAAACATCATCCTTTCCTACTTGTCCTCTTTGTCCTCCCATGCTAAGGCCCGTCTTCCCACACTGTTCTCCCTCCTGTCACCTCTCCTGCTCTCCTCCCTGTGTCTGGCTCTCACTTTAGGCTCCCTGGGACATCTGGTACATCCTCATCACTCTCATCGCCCAGCTCTCATCTTTGTGGCTGGGGTGCTGGGTCTGCTCTTCAATGTGACCTATCTGGCCGTAACAGGAGCTCTGCAAGGTAAGGATATGGAACCATGAGACCTAAGCCCCCTGTTCACACCTCAGTGATTTGTCATGCGTTTCCAGAAGCGCAGCAATTCTCAACAATAAGAATTCCATTCTATTCTATGAGGCCCGCTCACATCTGCTGTTTCTTGTTACACCAAAGTACAGATGCTTCTTTGGGGCAGGATTATGCATTTGTTTTTTTGATCCATATACTTCAAATGGAGCACCTGAACAAAACAGGTAACGTACCTAACAAGTTTGCTAGTTACCTGCTTTCCATTGGCCCAAAGAAAAATACTTGAAAAAATACTGAAAAGGCCCAAACAATGCATTTAAACACGAAATGCAGAACAAATAAGTGAGCGCTAAAACAATGACCAATTTATTAGCAGCTGTACACCAAAAAAGGTACCAATAAACCTTTCAAGACACATATAAAAGGAGGGGGTGGAGCGCTAGTAAAATCAACAATATCAAATAAATACAGATATAAATATAAAGTGACAAGGTGTAAATACATAAGCCACTGGATGGTGGCCAAAAGGTGCTAGAAGGTGTTGACCCAGTTAAAAGTCCACAAAGAAAAAGTGTTAAGATCTCAAATGATCTCAGGATATCCAGTGATACGGACCGTGGATCAGGTGATAGATGATAATAAGATTGCGCACTCACCAGATACGCAAATCAAATGCGCACAGATAGTAGTAAACCACTGGTCATCAGGATATCATCAGATAGGTCTGGTCAGGTCAGGTCAGGTTGTCCCTCAGTCCCTGGTGGTGCTATCACTCATAGGGGTCACCACACAATGGATTCAGCTGCAGCTCTACTTGACGCGTTTCGAGCGACTGCTCGTAGTCATAGGGGTTTAGCTGTGCAGCGGGCGGACGCTCCTTCCTTGTATATATAGGAGAAATGGTGCGTGTGCAGTTAACAAGCGCCATTTTCCAAGAGCAGCATGTCTCCGCAATGGGCGCCATTTTGGCGTAGCCCGACCGCCGGCACATGTGCAGATGCCATTAGAATGGACTCGCGGTGACAGGCAGCCTTGCAGAGATCCTTAAGCCCAGATTGGTGGCTGTAAATTTGATTATGTGCCACATATGCCTCAGTATACATACATATAGTGGAGAATGACATCTATAAAGATGACCCCTGATACAGACTTTATTGTGCAGGTCTACAGGTGACTCAGGATGAATTTACAATAAAACAAATGCATTAATATGTATGTAGCTTGAGGTCATGTGTATATGGTAAGTAAAGCTTAACAGTCATTACCCCATATGAAAACAAATAAAAACGTTGTAAATCTAATCCTCAATGAATAAATTAATCTGCAGTAATCGTAATCATGAAGCATTATACATGCTATAATAACATAAAATTAAAATAAATCATAAAACACTGTACGTACTGTAATGGACACCGTGAGATATATACACTTAAATCGAATAAATAAGGGAGGTCCAAGATATCATAAAAACATGTGAATTAATGTATATAATAAATCACTCCCACATAAAATTATAAAATAGAATAATCATAAAATAAATGCGTATGCATAAAATCATATCCTACATATACACATTAAAAAAAATGCTTCAAAGACAACTAAAATGTTGTATTTCCCATCACTTTCTGTTCTGGTGACAATGGTGACCAACATATAAAGAGGGAAAGATCTCCCCAATGGGACAGCAGAAAAACAAAACTGATAAAAGGTCTGATCCAGGGATAGGCAACCTTGGAGAGGTGGACATCTACCTGAACAACATGGAAAAAGTCAAAGATCACCGCAGTGTCGCCTTCTCACAGCTGATTTGAACTTGTACGTAATTGCTGTACTACTGCGCTGCAATCACGTGCATTGCACAGCAATTATAGGTTTAAATGAGGCAGTGAGCAGGGGACATATCGCCTCCTTACCACCTGTGAAACATTCTCGGATCACTTTCCCAGAAGAGCAGCAGCATCTGCCACACTTGTTCATGAGCCCTAAATTGGTGGGGTGGGTGGTAAAACACTGTTGATGAGTGATGGTTTGACCACCCTCAATCCCTACCCCCTTTAGCTGCAGCAGAAGAGTAGAATTATACCCCCTGCTGCCACCCGCCGATCGCAACCCTTCAAGTGAATGGGGCCACAACCGCATGAAATGCTTGTGGTTACAACGCACTAGTGAAGTGTTCAAGGGGTTACAGCAGGCGATACAATGCCTCCTCACTGCCTGCTTTAATCCCTTGGTCACTGTACTGCACAAGGTTGCAGGGTGCTTGCAGACCAACCCCATTAACTTTAATGGGTCATGTTGGATAAGTGCTACACCCAAGAGTGACAGGCTGTATAATTCCTGCTGTGACCATGACATTTGAACAATCCTGGCCACTGCAACTAAAGGGGGGTGTAGAGCTGGGGGGGATGTTAAAACATGGCTCAATTATGGTTTTACGACCCCCTCCAATATCATAAGTGTAAATAAGCCCTTACTATCCTAAGACCCCAGTTGCTTGCTCTGCTTAAACAGGTGTCATTAATGGCATAACAACATCTATGAGTTGTGTGTGGGCTTTACTTGTAAGACACACTGACCTGAACAAAACAGCTTGAGGATAATACAGGAGAGTCAGTACACTGGAGCTTTTCCAGTCTTGCTTATGCTGTGGGCTCCAGTCTAACTAAAACAGAGAGGTGGAGTGCAAGTGATATCACTCCCCTGTAAGCGGAACTAGAGAAACAGTAGTGCCACCCGGCTCAAAATGAATAGTTTTACATAAAGAAAATGCCATAACATTTAGCTGTAGAATTTTCTGATATGATTCAGATTACTATCCAGGCTCTGAAGGAGCAAAGCCCTAATGCCATTAAACTCTCTCCAGCACATTTCACAGTTGGGATAAGGTTTTAGTGTTGGGTGCAATGGTTTGTTTTAACCAAATTCTGTGTTCATATAGTGTAAGTGCACATTTTGTCTTGTACCCTCAGTACATTGTTCTAGTAGAACGCTGGAACTTTTGGGTGCTCACTGCCAAATCAGGCAAACAGCAATTTTTTTCAAATGATATATTAATGAACTGCAGATCCTTAGCTGTCATTTTAAGAATCTTTGTTACCAATCTGAGGCTTGTACACCATGCCATAGCACTTATCTATCTAAGATCTCCACACCTGGGGAGAACACCACCAGCTCCTAAAACTTTCTGCCTGATGTATGAGCTTCTGCAGTCCTCTTCAAATCTAGTCCACATTGCACTTCACCAGCTGTCCTATGTAGAGCAGGCATCAACATTTTTTTTTGTCATTATCTTAGGGAATGAAAAGGTTTTCCATCAGTGACCCTAATTGTTTAACCCATTTATGAAGGATATGTTGTTGGTTAAATATTATGAATTACTACTATTAATTAAAATCATGTCACATGTAATTAGGCATTCATGTAAAATTAGAAAGAGCCCATAAGGAGTCACATTTTTCCAACAGCTGTATATATGAAATATATTGCTCAACATTTTGAAAATATACAGTTGTGTTCAAAATAATAGCAGTGTGTTGAAAAAAGTGAATAAAGCTCAAAATCCTTCTAATAGCTCTTATTTCCATACACACAAATGCATTGGGAACACTACACATTCTATTCCAAATCAAAACATGAAGAAAAATATATCAAATTTGTGTTGTTCCTCTAAAAAAAAATTGAAGAAAAGTGAATATTAGACTGTTCAAAAAAAATAGCAGTGTTTGTATTCTTCTTTACAAACTCAAACATTCACTATATAAACTGAAAAATGTTTGAAGATTTTGCTTTCCTTTGAATCACCTAATTAATATTTCGTTGTATAAGCACTGTTTCTGAGAACTGCTGTACATCTGTGTTGCATGGAGTCAACCAACTTCTGGCACCTGTGATCAGGTATTCCAGCCCAGGATGATTGGACTACATTCCACAGTTCTTCTCTATTTCTTGGTTTTGCCTCAGAAACTGCATTTTTGATGTCACCCCACAAGTTTTCTATTGGATTAAGATCCGGGGATTGGGCTGGCCACTCCATAACGTCAATCTTGTTGGTCTGGAACCAAGATGTTGCACATTTACTGGTGTGTTTGGGGTTGTTGTCTTGTTGGAACACCCATTTCAAGGACATTTCCTCTTCAGCATAAGGCAGCATGACTTCTTCAAGTATTCTGATGTATTCAAACTGATCCATGATCCCTGGTATGCGATAAATAGGCCCAACACCATAGTATGAGAAACATCCCCATATCGTGATGCTTGCGCAACCATGCTTCACTGTCTTCACAGTGTACTGTGGCTTGAATTCAGTTTTTGGGGGTCGTCTGACAAACTGTCTCCGGCCACTAGACCCAAAAAGAACAATCCTACTTTCATCAGTCCACAAAATGTTGCGCCATTTCTCTTTAGGCCAGTCAATGTGCTCCTTGGCAAATTGTAACCTCTTCAGCACATGTCTTTTTTTCAACAGTGGGACTTTGCGGGGGCTTCTTGCAGATAGCTTGGCTTCACATAGGCGTCTTCTAATTGTAACAGTACTCACAGGTAACTTTAGACCTTCTTTGATCTTCCTGGAGCTGATTGTTGGCTGAGTCCTTGCCATTTTGGCTATTCCTCTATCCATTTGAATGGTAGTTTTTTGCTTTCTTCCATGTCTTTCAGGTTTTGGTTGCCATCTTAAAGCATTTGCGATCATTTTAGCTGAGCAGCCTATCATTTTCTGCACTTCTTTATATGTTTTCCCCTCTCCAATCAACTTTTTAATCAAGGTACGCTATTCTTCTGAACAATGTCTGGAACGACCCATTTTCCTCAGAATTTCAGAGAGAAATGTACTGTAACCAGCATGTACAACATTTGCTGCCTTCCTTCCTTAAATAAGGGCAATAATTGCCACCTGTTTTTCAAAGAATGAATGACCACTAATAGAACTCCACACTGCTATTATTTTGAACATGCCCCTTTCAATTAGTGATTCAATTACACAGAATCAGCAACATGCATGTCATGACTGTTGGGTCTGTTGGATTTCTATTACTCTACTACACCTGCTAGTAAATTGTTTGCCATGTAGGAATATCATTTCTACCAAAAACAGTGATTGATCAGGTTAGTGATGTCTGACTGCTATTATTTTGAACACAACTGTATGTTAGAAAACGTTTGACTTATAGGAAGTGCATATTGCAGTAGGAAGTCACATTGCCAGAAAAGCTTCTAGGAGCTACATCTATATGAATGCCAAGCCACTGGTTAGACACCATTCCTGTAAAGAAAAGTGGATTTTGATTAATGCTTTAACATATAAATGAAAGTGATATACATACATAAAGTGATTCTTAATACATACAAAAAAAAAAGTTAGGAAGGACGTTTTCAGCATTTAGCAAGGCCTTTGTGCAGTTAAAAAATGTTTGGTAACCATACTCAATAGGATAGTCTGGGCAATGTGAAGGTCCCTTTAAATGGTTGTCTATGGAACAATTGCAAAACTGAGTTACATGCTCCTATATGAACTGCTGGGGCAACATGGCATTTCAAACTGATATTTAGTCTCAGAGTTTACTCCAGGCCTTCAAGCCAAGAAAATAAACTGCTTTGACAAGCTGGCAAGGCACAAGTGACCCTATTTTCTTTGCTGCAAAATAATATTAGTGGGTACACTTGCTTTTAAATGCTGTTATTTGGCTGGTCTTAAACAAACATTTTATACCCAACTAATATCTTCTGTTAACCCTCTTTTATACTTTTTTGCATTGTACTCACATCTTTTAAAATATATCTTGCTGTACATTTTAACCAAACCAGGTCTGTGTCTATCAACATTACATCAACAGCAACAACCAAGATGGCGGCTAGTGCTGTGCCTGTTGTGTTGTCTGGCTCCTTCTTCCCTCCTCCTGGCCAGCAGTTTGCTTCTCCACCTGTTCACTCACCCCACTGTGCACTACTTGGATCCAGCTCTCTCCTTGGCTTCCATAGCAATCATGGTGGCTTCGGTTTACTCAGACATAGTTCACAATGGCCGTGTCCTTCTTCAAGCCACACCTGCCTCTGCTAATATACAAAGTCTTAAGATGGATTTGAATGCCCTCTGTGGCCATAACGGACATCATGAACTTCATATGTGGGCCCTTTCCGGTGATCATGGGGTGGCATCTCTCCATGTTCACTGTCCTGGAGTGGAGGCGTACAAGACTATTTTAAGCCAAGCCAGAGTTCTGTTTAAGCGCCATGGCATAAGGGAGCTGACGGTACAACCAGAATTTGGAATGCCAGGCACATGTTCCTTGGCCTGTGGACCTGTCTGCACCCATTACTCCTGTTGTGACCCCACCCTTTCTACGAGCAATGATTTAGTCCTGGCCAATGTGTGTGCATGAGATATAAGTAAAACACCACATCGGACAGGCCAGGCCACTAATAAGGCACTAGAAAGTTAATGGCTTTTGAAAAATGGAGGCACTTTACATATAGAATTAACAGGTGGAAGCACAGACATTATGGACGACAAAGTAACAATTCTATAAAATGTACTTGTAGTCTATGCACGATAAAGGCAACCATTAGGTGTACTGAAAAAAAATATTCAGCCAATCGATACTCAAGGAACAAGAACGTCACTGTGGTGCGAGTCATACCCTAGGGAACAAGAAGACCATATTCTCTGAAATATTATTCTGTCCAATCGCTGGCTATGTGGATGCATTTCTGTAATTGTGACAACAGAGCTGTACCATTTATTAATGTTTTTACATTAGCCTTAGCTTGTCTTGTTTATGTTGGCAGGATACACAAACGCAACACAATGATGTTTAAAAAATAAGTTCTTTTAATGATATATTAAAAAAAGTTAGTGCTCTCAGTTTCTTGCTGTTATTCACATTTTTATGCCCCAATAGTTTAAAAAATCTGTTCACTGTTAAGCCCCAATCCCGATCCGCTCAAGCTCAATGCAATGTGCCTATTTTAGGTACAAACCTTAACTACTTTCCCCAAGCCCCCCCTGCCTCAGGGATATTCAGGAGATACACATTACTAAGCTCTCAAAAAATGACTACACCATTTCTGGTCAAACTGAAGATGTCTAAACATTCTGATTGTTTTCAGAAAAAGGGGCTTTTAGAGCTTCACTTCAGACAACTGGCCCATGTGTCTGACCTTTCTGAAAGGGCAGATATCCACTCAGATACTGATTAGCTAGAGTGGGAGATGCTTACATTCAAAGGCTGCATCAGATAATGGATGAAACTTTTATACAGTCAGTATTGTTCCCTGAATGATTTGGCATTCAGTATACACATGGACTGCACATCATTTTTGCTGTGGATGGCCAAATCTGTACTGTAATCCTGTTCAGCCAACCTAATGTGAAACTCTACTCAAGACCTTAGGTTATGAACAGACGCGGGAAGCTGATCCCTTGTCAGGTGACTATTGCTGCCTGGGCCCCTACTGAGAAAATCTCCCCTCCCCCACTTCCTTAGCAGGTGACACCTAGCTCATTGATGGGAGCTAAACTCCCTGTTACCTCTCACTGGCTGTTGTCATCTGCTCCTAGTGGATTCTAAAGACAAATATGAAGAAAGCATTCCGGAAGAGGAAACCAGGAAGCTTGGCACACAACAATGCTGGGTGCAAATGGGGCAGACAGTAAGGGTACACAGGTAGTAGGAAAATCTTGATAAAGGATCTAACCCTTTACGAATGTATCCAAACCTAAAAACAACATGAAAAATAAACATGCCATTAGGAATATCAAGTAATGCACTACAGAGAACTATGATATATCAAATTAAGTAACCCAAATCTACCAATTTCAAATATGTTAACAAGTTGTTTGATAGATTGGTAACTATGAGTTACTATACATACATACATAAACTCCATGTAGTGCCATACCGATGTTTTTGACTTCTCAAATGGCAGCAGCTAGTAACTGTTTTACAATCTGAACTGTCTGTATTGAGGGGGAGGAGTAAAGTGTGAGTAAAGTGCTGTGACTCTCTCTCTATACAATCAAATGAAGTTCCCCTCCATCTGGACAGCAACGGTCCATTGTAACCACTTACCAGATTGCATATAACTTTTGTCACTTAACCATTCAATTCATTATGTACATTTATTGAGTGGTGTAATAATGTAGTGGGAGATCTAAATTAATGCTCTTATCTGGCTTGCTGGTTGGTTTGTCTGTTAACTTTCATATTTACATAAAAACCATTAAGTTCTCTCAGACTCTCAATGCACTGCCACTGTTCACTCTAGTTAACACATGTCTAGACAATGACCCAAGCCACAATCATTTGTGGCTAATAGGTGGTACATTCAGTTCATTTCAGAATAAGCAGCCACTAAAGGTCAACAACCACCCATTCTCACATCATCTAAGTAGGAGCAGTCTGAATACATCCGTTCCTGCTCTCCAGTAAGGTTGATACTGTGCCCAACCAAGCTGGCTGTGCCCTCTCCATCACTGAAAGATTGAATGCCTTCAAAATGACTTGCAGTTGTTTGTTCCTCTAGATCAGTGGTCCATGTGTTATAGATGTCAAGGTTTGAATGTGTGTCTTCAACCTGTGTGTTATAATCTTGAAGAAAATGGGTGTCAGCCAAGATATTAATATCAATACCAGGGAGCATCGAATAATCTATGAAAGGAAGAAGAGAAGGTATTGAATCACAGCACATTTCATACATTTCTCATTAACTCACATTATGAAATCCCTAACATTATGGCCTGTATACAGAGTGAACCAATAAATGTAGATCTACTGGTAAAATCTGAAATCTGGTTTTGAAACAGGGGTGGAAAACTGCTATCAAATTTTGTACTTGTGCTAGAAAATCATCCCACATACCAGACCTATTTGGCTTTTTTGTGGCTGTCTGAGAACACCATGCATACACACATTCATGTGCTGCAATAAGTCCTCTAATAAACCGTATGATGTAGAAAGAAACCATTTATGCCATTGTCGCTTGGGGAAATAATGCTGGGTTGCAGCTCTCCTATGTGTGCTTTGCAGCAATGGGAAGTTCAGGGCACAGGAGGTAAGGTGTGATCCTGCCTCAAAAGAAGGCACCATAAGATGAAAGATTATCCCCTTGTACATGGTAACAGCACTTCCAAGGACATAAACATTCATCAGAAACAGCTGCAAGAGACTAGATAATAGGAGGAACACCTCTGTGGGAAAACTTTGATGGGAACTGTGCCACATCTGAGGTCTGGGGCTGTGCAACTAAACCTGTTCACTTAATGACTGCCAACTATTTTGAGGCAAATGTGGGATTGGCTTCTTCCATACAAACATTCTCAGAGAGGTATCAGAGCCACTGCCTAAGAAGTGGGAGAGATCCAGCATGCACTATAATGGGACTGCGGCAAGTAGCCAAGTAGGTGAATGTATTCAGTTTCATGGCCAATGGTGTCACCATCCTGGAATCGCCATGAAGCCAACTCAGACTGATATGGGGGTAAAACACACACAGGAAGTATACATGTAAAGGCTGAGACACTGAGAGCAAATCATTTCTGACGCTGTATACTGTGGCATCAAAATGTATCTAACGCAATCATTCTCAACTAGGGTTCCTCCAGAGGTTTCTAGGGGTTCCATGAGCCATGACCGATTGACTTTCCAGTTGATGGCACCTGCATAATTCTGGGTCCAATGCCCTTTGGATTATCATTACACCAATGATCTTTTTTGTTGTCTGTAAGGGTGGCATTCCTCCCAATGAACTGGTTTTAACAAAGGTTCCCTGAGACCTGAAAATTATTTGATCTAACAAATATCCCTTTAAAGGAATAAACAAGATTTAATTATTGCGAAGACTATGTCTTTCAAGTTGAGGCTGTGGAACATTTATTCAAACAGGGATCATTTATTCATAAGCTAGGTAGCTTGTTTGTGAGTGTGCACAGTGTGTGGCAAAATAAACAATACATACAACTCTACACTGGGCTTAAAGATAACTTTTGGCTACTGTAAACCTATAAAGCTGCCATTTTCTCTGTACAGCTGACACAGCTAGATACCAATATATCACATCAGACTCCTTATAGCATATCCCAGGAATTCCCAAAACTTAAAGGCAAATGGCATCCGGGTGGTTCTTGCCTGCTCCTCTTGCAGTTTTCAATGGGATCATTACTGTGATTGACAGCTTGACTGACCAATAGTGAGGCAAAAGAGGTGCAAATGGTGGAGAGAGCTGTCAAGTATGAGTTCTGGTTGGATATGAAGAGCAGTCTGGTGTTCTGAGTTATCTCCAGAACATGGATTTGCTTACTCTACACATTAGGTGGCAATGGTAAAGGATTTACAATAATCTCAGGCTTGCTTTACATGGAATGTAGATTGTATTTTCGGCATGTTATTTAGAGAAGCTCAAGGCAAAATAATTTGTTATTACATGCTCACTCTCGAATACTATTATTGTATTAAAGTAGAGCAATAGGCAGAACTTTTTTTTTCCATTTTGGATAGAGTAAGGGGGTTATAACTCGTCATTTATTTTTCTGCCATCTGTGTCCCATTGGGGACTCTCTCCCTCTCTCTCAACTACTGTCTTGTTGTGGGCTGTATTTTTTGTAACAGTATTTTTTGGGGTGGTGCAGTCCTCCGGGTTGTTTTTTTCTAAACTACCTAGCCACGCCCACTTCCAGTTTTCCACAACATTAAGACACAGGAAAACACAGAAGATCACATTGGAAGTGTGCAGAAGACAAAGGACAGCTCTGAATTTAGATTGACATAAATAGATATAACAAAACACTTCCACTTGAACTGACCTAAAATGTTACTGACGTCTGCCAAACCAAGCTACATTTTGTGTACTTACCTGATTGGGGGGTTATGTATTCTGTGTAGTCAGGTCTTGCTTGCCGTCTCCTGCTCTCAATCCCATGTGGGTCTGCAAAGAAATAAAATGGATCAGAGTGATGTCTAAAATTAAACACAAATTAGTATATATAATGTAACCAAGTACTGACCGGGGCCATCAAACTCATCCAGCACAGAAGAGAGGCGGGGTCGCTTTCTGCGCAGTCCATAGGAATCTGTAGTACAATTTTAGGGCTCATTATTTGTCTAGTTAGATTGGGCAGAACACCAATAGGTCACACACACACACACACTCTCTCTCTCTCTCTCTCTCTCTCTCTCTCTCTCTCTCTCTCTCCCTCTATAGTGTGTACTTGTCTCAATCACACTAAGTGTCATTTCTGTCTGCTGCCTACTTACTCTTCTAGCTCCATGAATCGCTTCTGACAAGTTTTCCTGACACCCAAGAAAAAAAAAGGTGACAGGGGAGGGAGCTCCAGCACACTGCCTGTGATTGACAGCCTCAGCTCTGTTCCTGTGTGAGGGGTGTGTATTCCTTCCCTCCAAATCAGCTCTCAGAGCTCTCCTCACTGAGCTCTGCAGTGTGTAATTTCAGCTCCCTGTCCCCTGCTTTCTGAACTCTCAGACACGTTTTATAAATTATGGACTTTGAAAAGGATGTAGAGAAGAAGAATGCAAATAAAAACAGGTAAAACTTATGAAGAAGAATTTGTTTAATATTTGTGTATCACCTGAGGAAAATCACTTTACTTGGTATATGGAAAGGGTTTACAACCACTTAAAATGGTTTGTTTAACCACTTCCCACCCGCTATATAGTCCAATGACGGGCGCAAGGTGGTTCTCTTGTTCTGGGAGGACGTCATATGACTTCCTCCCATTCTCACCGTGCACCCGGCTTTTATAAGAAAGTGCCAATCACGAAGTCCTGATGAAGTCACGAGGTCACATGACGCAACACGTCGACGGCATTCACATGTGAAGTACTTCCAGCGTGGCACCATTTTTGAATACCTATCAGCGCTTTTTCTTCATGCAGTACACCTTGCATATTGGATTCTACCTTGATACAAGCTGTTTACTGTGTACATTGGATTCTACCTTGATATATGCTGGATTCTACTTGATGCAAGCTACATTTATGTGAGTGCACTTCTGGCTTTCTTATTTTTATATGCCATTAAACAGTAATACACTATGGAGATTGTGTTCGCTTTCTGTTTTATGGACATATGATTCATGATACTTATGAGAGTGCTAAGCTGCCTGCTGACCGGTCCAGTGGAATGGTGATTAGCTATTACCTGTTGGCACCATCTGGCTAATAGAGTGGTTACTCTGAGGATCCAGAGGAGAGTTTTTTGCTTTGTGGCCCTGCAGGGTCATGAACAAGAGGTGAGAGGCCATTGCAGCCATTCCTCCTTTGGGGTTCACATTGAGGGGGTGTGTTGACATCCACATCGTGCATGAACAGGAAGATCACTACACCGATATATATGGACTTTTTTTGTCACTGTATTATGTATATGTGATGTGTTTTTCACATGGTGTTGTTTTGATCCCTCAGCAGGGATTCACATCTGTGTTTGTTACTATTGTGTCCCAACAGGGCACTTGGGGGTCACGATTTATCATATCCCCATGTGGATTGGGGTCACACTCTTGTTGTGTGATCACTGATAGGTCTGTTTTCTAGACCTTTTCATATGTTTATATACCGTTTCATACACTTTATATCACCCATGATTGTTAATTTTAATCTATATTAGCGCTGCATCATTATTATGTTTAAGTGTGCCCTGATGATCAGTGTGGCCCCAGAAGTGCCACCTGTCAGTGTCCATCAGTGCCAGCTGTCAGTGCTGAAACAGTGCCACGTGCCAGTGCCCATCAGTGCCACATATCAGTGCCTACCACTGCACATCAATGCCACATATCAGTGCCCATCTGAGCTGCCTTTCAGTGTCACCCATCAGTGCCAGTCAGTGCCACCTATCAATGCCAATCAGTGCCACCTATCAGTGCTGCCAATCAGTGCCCGCCTAACAGTGCCAGTCAGTGCCCGCCTAACAGTGCCACCTAACAGTGCCATATATCAGTGCTGCCTTTCAGTGCCCATCAGTGATGCCTGTCAATGCCCATCAGTGCCACCTACCAGTGCCTCCTCATCAGTGCCACCTATCAGTGTCCATCAGTGCAGCCTATCAGTGCCCATCACTGCAGCCTCATTAGCACACATCAGTGAAGGAGAAAAATCACTTATTTACAACATTTTACAACAAAAACTAGGAAAAAAAAAATTAATTTTCAAAATTTTCAGCGGTTTTTGGTTTGTTTAAGAATAAATAAAAAACCCAGAGGTGATTAAATACCACCAAAATAAAGCTCTATCTGTCACAAAAAAAATGATAAAAATTTCATATGGGTACAGTGTTGCATGACTGCGCAATTGTCATTCAAAGTGCAACAGCGCTGAAAGCTGGAAATTGGCCTGGGCAGGAAGGGGGTATAAGTGCCCTGTAGGCTAGTGGTTAAAACACACTTTTATGAAGAAAAATGCATAAGCTACCTCTGAAATGACATGAATGCAGTAGGTAGAGCAACAGCACAGACAGAATTCCTGATCTGTATACCTGTTGCAGGTTAGTGACACAAAAAAGTACTGAAACAATTATATGCAAAGTTCGTAGTACAGCTTTCCTTTAAGGCTGACCATATACTATAGTGTATGGCCAGCATATCATCACCTATTACACAATCAGTGTTTATTAGGTTGAGCAATCAAATTCCTCCTGTGTTCTACAAATTGAGGATCTGAGACTAATAATGAGGACATCTCTGAATAAATACACAGTTTAAGTACACATATAATTGCTTCTACCTGCAAGTATTGAAATGTAGAGCATTTACAGGGGTTGGAAAAAAAATGGAAACACTACATGATTTGCAGGTGTGAAAGTGATGACATGTTTCATGTTGAAAGAGGAAGTGATGTGACATTCTTTTGCTTCCGCTGTGTGATGAGACAACTAGCTAACAGGAAGGAAGCTTCAATTTCGTCATTCACTGTGTGCGGTGCTAGTAATATGGAATCATGTCAGAGTTTACTGAGCTTCAAAGAGGGCAAATTGTTGGTGCGCGCTTAGCTGGTGCCTCCGCGAATGAAGTTGCCAATTTATTTGCGGTGCCGTGAAGTACATTATCTAGGTTATGATGGCATATACAGTTTCTGGGAAAACGTCATCTGATAAGCATAAGTGCGGTCAACATGGTCAACTGACCGAAAGAGACAAATGGACATTGTGTGACCCAAAATAGGAACAAACTGCTGCAAAAGTGATGGCAGAGGTCAGTCTTTACAGGACTTTTTCTGTTTTTTTTCAACTTTTTCAGTCACTATGAGATTTGTTTTCTGTATTCTGCAAAAAAGCTGGCTGATCCTGCTGTTCTCTGTCTCGCCCTCCTGTCCATGTCCCCACTGCAGTTGGAGATTTTGCAGAGCATCACTTGCAACTAGGACACATGCTCAGTTTTTAGTGTATTTCTATTCTGAGCATTTCCTTCCTATTGTATCTGAGCAGCCCATGTAACTATACAGTCACACATGTGGGGATATACACAGTGGTAAATGGCAGCCCACATCCTCCCTAATCTTCCATGACCACTAACCAGCTAAACACAATGGGAGTGGGATGTTACATCTTGATTGATGGAGGATTCACCTCCCTTTTTTTCTAAGACACAGGCTGGAGGGGTGTGAAACAGCCTGTAACTAGCAGAAATCCACCTACACTATGTTATTATAAGAAAAAATAAAAAAAGATTTGATATTAAATATATATTTATATGACAATTTAAAATGGTTTATTGATATTATTTATTTTTACTTTGTATCCCAAACGCTAGCTACACGATACAATAACTATATATCAATTAATAAAAGGGTACTTCAATTTTTTTTTATTAAAATAATTACTGAGCAGTCATCCTCATACAGAAAGAGAAGGGATAAGGTAAATTAAACAGTATGTGTTTTAGTATCACTTTAAGTGACAAGCACCACAACCTATACACTCACCTCCATCACGTGGCATGTATGTGAAATTCACTCCATCGCTGCGGATGCCGTCTGTGATCCTCTGTAGGCAGACTTGCACAGTTGCTGGGCCACAGATATGCAAATCATGGTATGGTGGTGTCTTGAGAACGATGGCGATTTGTCTGTGCACATCAGCCTGGGAGAAATTGGCGCAGGCCTCCCATGTACTGTCAGAAAAATACCACCTTGATGTCCTCTGCAGCAAATGTGAGGATTAAGCAAAAGTTTACAAAGAACAATTAATCACAGGAAGCTGTTTTCATATAAACATTTATGTATCACTTACACATAGCAGTTGTGGCAAAGTATGTCAATTATTTATGTGGGTGTGTATATATATGTACACATATATACACACATACACACACACATATACACACCCCAATCTATTCTACAGCAGTGGGAACAATAAAAGAAGACTGTGGATGGATTCTCTGATTTGTTTTTGCTTCTAATCATTACCAGTTCAGAATTCCATCATCTCCCAGCCACCAGCTCTTCATCTATATTATCACAAAGGAGATGGCTGCAGACCCAAACCATGACCAGTTACCTTTCTGCACCTTGTCACACAGGATGTACAACTCTTCTCCCCCTTCACAGTGGCCAAACTCTTTATTCATCCGGCATATCTTCAGTTCTGAAGTATTTGTGGATTCTAGAGAAGCAGAAAAATCCAATTCAAACAAAGGACACACATGGGGCAGGAAAAACATTTCAGTAACTCAGCACATGGACCTCTAAGGTGATTTTCCTCTGAGCTGTGGTTTTACAAAAATTGATTTCTTTCCTTAGGGGTCATTCACATGTGAGCAGAGGCACATACAGTCTGAAAAACAGTTTATGTTTCCCAAGCAGCATGGAATTGTGCGCAGGCAGCTTGTTTTAGCCAATGGAAATGCAGTGGCTATACAGAGTTGCCTGCACATCCTAGATTGACAGGAATGCAGGGATGGGTGCACAGCTCTGGATGAACACTGTCTACGCTTGGGGTCATGCACCCTTCTGTGTGTACTTGTCAAATTCAGCTTTGCGGGTGAGTCTGTACAGACACTGCATCTCCATTGACTAACACAGACTGCCTGCATGCAGCTCCATGCTGTTACAGAAACAAACTCTTCCTGCTGTACGGGCTTATGCAGATCATATGTTCTACATTTAGCTGCTCTGTGTATTTCACTCTCTCAAAAATGGCTGCTGAGATCTCTGCTGCACAGACACGGCATGGTTTTTAATGTGATCAGCAGACTTGCACTGGGAGTCTGACAATGCTCACATTTATGCAATCAGCAGACAGGCATTGGCCCAACTCTCTTGTACCTCATCACTATTTTTTCTGCAGAGAGAAGTGCTTTTATTTGCTGTCTATCCATCCTTCCACTACTTCATAAAGCTAAACTCTTACACTTGCACAAATTAGGTATATGTATTTAATATATAAAACAGGGTGAGCAAAAAGCCAATACTTAATTTTATGTGCTCCCCCCTTCCCCTGCAAAGTCACTTTATGAATTCTGACCCAAACACAAAAATATTCTCCACCATAGGATGAGATTATAGGAGGCCAATATCATGACAATTTCAAGTACTTCTGCCAGCGTTATGTAAATACATTGATTTTTTTTAATAGATCCATGACTTGATTTACTGGAGTTCAGTTTCATTCCCCTTCTTTTTTTTTTTTGACTACTTACTCTTATCGTACACAGGCTCTGACAACACAGGTCCAATTGTCATTCGTTGTGCTGCAAGTGACATATACCAAGCCTGAAAACAAAGCCTGACCACGTTTAGATCAACCTCTTCATGGTGCCGCCACATGCCAGCTGTTGGGTTAAATAAAGAGCAGTTAAACCAAATATAATGATGAAGATGTATATTCATCAAGACTTATACAGCAATACGCCTGAAGGAAAAAACACCATAGACACTCATGGCAATCAATTCTCCCATAACTGCAGCACAGAAGAATCTGATTGTGTTGCTAAAGACAAGGAGAACAGTTCATACTATTTTAAATGCTTATTTGTAATGCTTTTCCTTTCTTTAAATTATTTTTTTATTACCTTGCAATGCACCCTTGAACTTGCTAGGAAATGTGACAACTCCATGAAAAGTCAATTCCCTAGGACAGCTCCTCAATCCTTACATATCATAGCCCTCCCCTCCTCTGGGAGTTTCTAAATACTGTCTGTGCTGAACCAGCTCCTCTGTTCCTGCCCTCACCTCTCCCTATATAACGTTTTATGTAATGGTCAGGAAAGGAATGATGGGGATTACTATAGTGCACATGTGCCTTGTTCATGCTCAGGTTCAGCTAGGTTCCTACAGAACAGAGATCAGTTTTTTTTCCACCACAGTGAAGGTTTAGGTTTCACCTTGACAATAAAAATTTAGCTCCTTTGTTTTTTGTGATTGGTTGTTTCTGCTGATAGAGAGCTGAGACCCATAAGAAGCAGCCAATCATAAATCAATGATATCTAGGGGAGGCTCTCACCTGTTTCCTGAAAATACTCGCTGAAATAAATGAACCAGTTAGTAACCTATGAGCAGTGTGTCCCTAAAGAATATAGTTTTAATTGTTGGTGCTCACCATTATAGGGGTCTATCCCCAAATTTAGCCTGGCTTTAACCGATGACTCAATTTCCTTTTTCCGAACACATTGGATTCCAAGGTTACTAAAACTGGAGGAAGGAAAAATAAAAGGGGTAAGAAAAATGCAATATGAATACAATCTACAAAAATAATGAGAATGGGAATTAGTAAAAAGATTTTAAGCTGAACCATTCTGAATGATTTTTTAAGGGGGCATGTCAGTTTTATTGCTGACTTTTTAAATAGAAAAAAATCATCTGCAGGTTTGAAGAACAGGCAACTACTTGTGTCTAAGAGTAGCTTCAGCAGCTGCCAAAACCCGTAGTTTTCAGACAAATCCCACGCCATTGTCACTGAAAGCTACAGCCCTTTTCTGTCTTGCCTCGATTACATTTCTATTGGCCACTAAAACAGTCCATCATAACAATAGCCCAATAGGAATGTGTGCGTTTGCAGCAAGTTCTTACACTACCGAGAAATGTAGGGGCTTGGTCTTTTAGCCAGGGATTCATCTATTCATAAGAAGAGGCAGTAATGGCAGAATCAACAAATGTTTGATAATACTTGTAAAACAGATTTAAAAAATAATTTATTAGTACTGAATATTTTATCAGACAAAAAGAATACATTAACAAGTTTAAGTTAACATAAAGTGCTTTTTTATCCTTCATTCTGCTTCTATCATTAAAGCTGAACTTCAGGCAGATACAAAAAATGCAGATTTAATGCATATCTGTATTCATGAACACATCTTTAAAAGTGTTTTTTTCAATGCAAGCAGTTTAAATACTCAAATTGGACCTGGTGTCAGCCTCGTTCTGTCTATCATGCACCAGAGCTCAGACTGAAAGAAGGGAAACAGCCAGACAACTGTGCTGCAGTGCTCATATACCAACAAAGAACAAGCTGAATGGAGCAGACAGCAAAGTAACAGAGATAAGCTAATCAGTCTGCTGTTTCTTCTTTCACTGTCTAGTCACAGGATGGGGAGGAATAAGATCTGTTATCTACCTGCCTGCAATATAGCAAATCTGTCCTCCTATCCTGCTAGACAGGAATGTGCTATGTTACAGAGCTGTGTAAGTCTCAAAGCTGGATGGACAGAAATACAAATAGTTTGTTTGGCAGATTAAAGAACATACATATATACACGATATTGCCAAAAGTATTGGGATGCCTGCCTTTACACGCACCTAGTCTTAGTATGTAGGGTTCAATATTGAGTTGGCTCACCCTTTCCAGCTGTAACAGCTTTAACTCTTCTGGGAAGGCTGTCCACAAGGTTTAGGAGTGTGTCTATGGGAACATTTGACCATTCTTCCAGAAGCGCATTTGTGAGGTCAGGCATTGATGTTGGACGAGAAGGCCTGGCTCGCAGTCTCCACTCCAATTCATTCCAAAGGTGTTCTGTCAGGTTGAGGTCAGGACTCTGTGCAGGCCAGTCAAGTTCCTGCACCCCAAACTCGCTCATCCATGTCTTTATGGACCTTGCTTTGTGCATTGGTCATGTTGGGACAGGAAGGGGCCATCCCCAAACTGTTCCCACAAAGTTGGGAGCATGAAATTGTTAAAAATGTCTTGGTATGCTGACACCTTAAGAGTTCCCTTCACTGGAACTAAGGGGCCAAGACCAACCCCTGAAAAATAACCCCACACCATAATCCCCCTTCCACCAAAGTTTACACTTGGCACAATGCAGTCAGGCAAGTACTGTTCTCCTGGCAACCACCAAATCCAGACACGTCCATCGGATTGTCAGACAGAGAAGCGTGATTCATCACTCCAGAGAACACGTCTCCACTGCTCTAAGTCCAGTGGCGACGTGCTTTACACCACTGCATGTGACGCTTTCAATTGCACTTGGTGATGTAAGGCTTGGATGCAGCTTCTCAGCCATGGAAACCCATTCCGTAAAGCTCTCTACGCACTGTTGTTATGCTAATTTGAAGGCCACTCAATGTTTGGAGGTCTTTAGCTATTGACTCTGCAGACAGTTGGTGACTTCTGCACACTGTTAGTTTCAGCATGAGATGCCCCAGCTCTGTCATTTTACCACTTGGTGGCTGAGTTGCTGTTGTTCCCAGTTGCTTCCACTTTGTTATAATACCACTAACAGTTGACCGTGGAATATTTAGTAGCAAGGAAATTTCACAGATGGACGTATTGCACAGGTGGCAACCTATCACCGCTCCATGCTTGAATTCACCGAGCTTCTGAGAGTGACCCATTCTTTCACAAATGTTTGTATGATTTTATACACCTGTGGCCATGGAGGTGATTGGAACACCTAATTCCAATTATTTGGAGGGGTGTCCCAATACTTTTAGCAATATAGTGTGTATACATACATATATATATATATATATATATATATATATATATATACACACACACATACATACACACACATACACACACACACACACTGGGTAAAATAAATATTGTACACGTCATCATTTCTCAGTAAATATATTCCTAAAGGTGCTATTGACATGAAATGTTCACGAAGGGCTCGTTTACACTAGGCTGTTTTGCCAACGCTTGCCAAACGCCCCTATAGCGTTTGGCAAGCGTTGGTCCGGTGTTTGCGGAGCGTTTTTAACGCTCGACAAACGCTCCGCAAACGCCGCATGCGCGGTTTAGCGGCGGTTGCTAGGCGTTTGCCGAGCGTTAATAACGCCCCACAAACGCCTATAATGCATTTGAGTGGTGTTACCGCTCCGCAAACGCCCCGCAACCGCACCGCAAACGCCGGCCGGGCATTTGCGGAGCGGCACCATAGACGAGAATAGGAGGCTTCAAAGCCTCCTGACTCGACCAGAGGCGTCCGTTTTGCCGCGACGCAACGCGACGCAAACGCTCCTGTTAGAACAGCACCATGTGCTGTAATGTGCAGAGTTGGCAGAGGCGTTTGGGAAGCGGTAAAAACGCTTCCCAAACGCCTCTCTGCCGCCTGCACACAAGGCTAGTGTGAACGTAGCCTAAATGTCAACAACGACCCCTGCAATCCATACATACAAAGAAACCAAAACAAATAAATTCATAAATTAAGTTATGTGTAATAAAAATGAATGATACAGGGAAAAGGTATTGAACATGCTAACTGAAATTTATCTAATACTTCGTACAGATTCCTTTGTTGGCAACGACAGCTTCAATACTCTTCCTGTATGGAGAAACTAGTTGCATGCATTGTTCAGGTGTAAGTTTGGCCTACTCTTCCATACAAACAGTCCTCAAATCTTGAAGGTTCTGTGGGCCTCTTCTATGAACTTTGATCTTTAGTTCTTTCCATAGATTTTCTATTGGATTCAAGTCAGGTGATTGGCTGCATTCTAGCAGCCTTATCTTCTTTCGTTGAAACCAATTAAGAGTTTCCTTGGATTTCTGTTTGGGATCATTGTCTTCCTGAAATGTCCACCCTCATTTTCATCATCCTGGTAGATGGCAGCAGATTTTTATCAAGGATGTCTTGGTACATTTTTCCATTCATCCTTCCTTCAATGATATGAAGTGTGCCAGAACCAAATGCTGAAAAACACCCCCACATCATAATGTTCCCACCTCCAAACCTAATTGTAGGTATTGTGCTTTTGGGGTGTGTATTATGGAATCCAAAGAGTTAAATTTTGGTCTCATCTGACCAGACTATAGTCTCCCAGTATTTCACAGGCTTGTCTAAATGTTCTGCAGCAAACTTTAAAAGGAGCTTAAACATGCTTTTTCTTCAACAATGGAGTCTTGTGTGGTGAGCGTAGAGGCCATGGCGGTTGAGCTAATTACTTATTGCCTTCTTTGAAACGATTGTACCTGCTACATTCAGGTCTTTCTGAAGCTCTTAACAAGTGTTCCTTGGCTCTTGGACAACTCCTATGAGAATTATTTTCACACATCTTGCGAGGAGCACCTGGTCATGGCCGGTTTATGGTGAAATTATGTTCTTTCCACTTCCGGATTATGGCCCCAACAGTGCTCACTGGAAAATTCAGAAGTTTAGAAATCCTTCTGTAACCAATGCCATCAGTATGTTTTGCAACAATAAGGTTTAGAAGATCTTGAGAGCGCTCTTTGCTTTTACCTATTAGGAGATGTTTCTTGTGTAATGAGACACCTTTTTATAGGCCATCAGTTGAGACTGAACCAGCTGCTATTAATTTGAACTGACAAGGGACAGGAGCTGTCAGGGCTCCAGGTATGACCAGAGGTGTGTGGACTGACACAGGGAAACGCAGGCTTCAGATATAGTATAAACAGTATAATTTATTTAAGACTAAACAATACATAAACGCAGTGCAAGACTAAACATAAACACAGTGCAAACAAACCAAACCAAAACCCCCAACAGATAACAAAAGAACAATACTAAGCGTAGTCGGGCAGGCCGAGTCGGTAGCAAACGGGCAGGCAAGGTACAAAGGAGCAGGCAGAGCGTAGTCAGATGGGCCGGGTCAGGAACAATCAGGCAGACAAGGTACCAAAGGAGCAGACTGGAGAGTGGTCAGGAATAGCAGAGGTCAGGACAGGCGGAGTTCAATCAGAGTCAGGGATCAAGCAGGATCAGACAGGAAGCAGACAGGATGCAGCTACAGGGGCTCTTGGGAAAACATACACCAAGGCCCTGATTGCAAGTCTGGCCATTCCTTATATGCACCTCCTGCAATCAGCCTCAGGTGTTATGGCTGACTGCAGGAGTGAGCCTCTGGTTGCTGAGAGCACCCGCTGGCCAGTCCTGGTACTGCAACCCACAAGGCAGGTGAGTCCCACCACTATTGGCGAGTCCATTCCTGACAGGAGCTTTATAATTACTAATAGATTTCAGCTCATGTCTTGACTTTCCATGCCTTTTTGCACCTCCCTTTCTTCATGTGTTCAATACCCTTTTCCCTGTGTCATTCCATTTTATTACACATATCTTAATTTCTGAACTTATTTTGGTTTCTTTATATGTATGGATTGCATGGGTTGTTACCGACTCGTGGCGAAAATGTCAGGTCAATAGCATTTTTAGAAGTATATTTACTTAGAAAAATGGAGACGTGTTCAATACTTATTTTACCTGCTGTGTGTGTGTATGTATGTATATGTGTGTATATATATATATATATATATATATATATATATATATATATATATATATATATACACACACACACACACACACACATACATACATACATACATATATATATATATATATATATATATATATATATATATATATACTGTATATATATATATATATACACAAACATACATACATATATATACATACATACATACACATATATACACACACGTATGTGATGTATATGTATCATCTGTGTCTTTAGCTGTCTGCCTGGGGTTCAGCCTTAAGAATACATTTGCGTGACAATTTTGGTAAAGATACACTCTGTATTGCTTTGTATGTTATCATCAACGTTCAGCTCACCAATGTTCAGTCTCTCCATCATTTGGGTGCAGTACGACTTCACAGATGCCATCATGGCAGTCTTTCCCCACAAGGGAGTGTGGGTGGACACGATGAGGAGAGTCCTTCCACACCAGACAGACGCTAACATGAACATCCCGGATTGCCTCACAGTTTAACAGCTACAGAAACAACACAAGAAGGTGACAGGTGTGATGAGATTGCTAGGATGTGGGGAATCTTAGGTACTTTCCAAGGAAGGTTAAGCTGTACAATCTCATCAATCACTACATGTGCTCAGAAGAAAGTGCGCAACTAACACAATGGAAAATTAAATCACAATAAGTCACGTTACCAAACACAATCTATTTCTATAATCCAAGAAGAGCCAGTTCTCCACCTGTTATATAACTAGAAACCCCAGCATGCTTTGCCAGCCAGCGGCTAACTTTTTGGCATCTATAGTTTGCTTTGGTTCTTCTGAAACCTCAGAATACAGCATGTCCTGACAGGATGTTGAATATATCCCAAGCAATCAGGGCCTTTAATATAATTTTTTGGAAGGGGTGAGAAATTGAATGGGAGACCTATGCCTGGAACCTGTCATGACACATACCTAAATTCTAGGGGCGGCACAGTGGTTTAGTGGTTAGCACGTCTGCCTTGCTGTAAATGCGACATGGGTTTGATTCCTGTGCTTGCGTGGGTTTCCTCCGGGTACTCCGGTTTCCTCCCACACTCCAAAGACATGCTGGTAGGTTAATTGGCTCCTGTCTAAATTGTCCCTAGTATGTATATGTAAGAATGTGAGTTAGGGACCTTAGATTGTACGCCCCTTGAGGGTTAGGGACTGATGTGAATGTACGAGATATATATATATATATATGTAAAGCGCTGCGTAAATGGACAGCGCTATATAAGTACCTGAAATAAATAAATAATAAATAAATTCTCAAAGCTGTATTTCTGCAGTGTGAGATCTAAGGTGGTGCTGTCTCTTACTGCTAGTCTCAGGAGATTGGAGTGAGATATGGTGATGTCACTACTGTGCTGATCACTGTCCTCCTTGCTGGAGGCTCTGACAAGTGGAAGCAAAAGTCTGCCCCTTCCAAGATGACAACCTCCTGACAAAGTACCCCCGAAATGTTGCACGTTTACTGCTGTAATGTGATCATTCTAATAAACTTTGGATGCTATCTCAAAGAACCATGATGTTCTGGTGATATATGCTTTGACCCTAGGCATGATCAGCAAACAAGAATTTCTCATGAGGTTTCCTCATGTCATCACAGGCTGGTATGAGCTGTCATCCTGCCAGAAAGATTCCGCAAGTAAAATGAAATGAGATAACATGCATTTACAACAGCACTGCAATTTGAAAATGCTAAAGAATGAATGGGGACCTCCTCAATAATCCTACTGGAGCTCTTTCTGAATAATGTGCTCGACAGCTTCCCAAATAATTCTGCTGGAAAGCTTCCTGAATAACACACTATACATTTCCAGTGACCACCAATAGCCTAAAGCTGGCCATATACAATTTATGTTTAAATGTGTGTAAGAAATTCTGAAAACTCTTTTGTTAGAGCATTCAACAATGCCATCATTAAAGTGGTATTTAACCCCAAACCAAACATTTAATATGTTACAGTTTGCCAATACGTAGACGTGGTGGCTGCATTTCTTTTTAGGCTTTTTTCACCAGGTGATATGGCCAGTTGCCCAGCTCCTGTATTATACAGACACCACTCTGGATGGAGGAGCACAGGGGGGCAGATTTGGACAGAAGCATTTTTAATCTAGGGGAAGGGGAGTACTAGCACACTAACAAATTGAAGCCAGACTCCAGCTAACACTATACCAATTACAACAACAGCTTTTTTTTCTTTTGGAATAAAGGTTTTACATAATAAATAAAATCTGATCATTGTAAGCACCTCCGTTAGTGGTAAATGGTTTGTCTCAACCTTCTAATTGCTACATCTACAGGAAAGCATGTTCTGTTGGAAAAAGACAGACTTACTGGCCAGATCACCAGGTAAAAATAAAAGAAAGCCCAAAAAAGAAAATTAATACAATAAATGTTTGCTTTGGGGTTCAAAGGCCCTTAAACATTTAGTCCTGACCTGTTACTTGAATGGATTTCCATATGTATTAAACAGGCTTCTTTTATTGAAAAAATTACTTTTCACTTTCTCTCATTTCTAAAGTACAGAAAATAAAGGAAAGACTCTCCAATAGAACACAGATGGGAAAAAATTAATGGGTTAAATTATTCCTACTATATCTAATATAACAAAAATAAAACATTTGGCTTTTGACACACTTTAAGATGTGAAACAGTCAAATACTTACACTTACATAGAAAATATTGTATTTGTTACGTAGGTTAATAAGGATGATATAAACCTGCGCTAAAATGCGGCACATATGGTGAAAAGGCAGCTAACGTAGAAATGCAGGCAGCATATGATATAATTACAAAATCCAATATGTAGCGCTTATACACCCCACTCATACTCGAAATTTAATATGACAATAAATTAGAGTCCTCAAAAAAGTCCATAAGGTGTGACTGTAATTTATAGAACGTCCATATATAAAGCCCTTAGGGTAATGTGCCACCAAAGAGAAGAAAGAAGGATCTTCCACTGTCCCCACTCACAGCCTCTCACTAGAGAATATGACCACAGGTCATGCGGTCAAAAACAGCAAGTATGTGGAATCAATGGGTATAAAGGATCCTTAATAAATTTTCACCAAAGACAATTCCACAGCTGGTAACTCGATGGCAAAGATCCAGTGTTATAGCTTAGAGACAATAGGATGTATGCAAAGAGAACAAAGGCTCCTCATAGTGTAGTAGTTAAAATAATCCAGAATTTAATAAGAATATTGCACTTACAAACATAAGAAGAAATCAGCATGTAAGATCTGCAACATTTCCAACCGACAAAATTTTTTGAGAACTCTAATTTATTGTCATATTTCATTTTGTATATGAGCAGGGTGAATAAGTACTACATATTGGTTTTTGTAATTTTTACATAGGTGCTTGTGAATTTTGTTTTTGCTTTTATGCATATTCATCTATTATATGGGTTACCATTTGTACATCATTCATTTTGGGGTTGATAAACTAAATTTGGAGAGTTCAAAATCTGGCACAGCTGTGCATGGTAGCCAATCAGCATCTAAGTTCAGCTTGTTCAATTAAGCTTTGACAATAAAACCTGGCAGCCAGCTGGTTTCTCTACAGAGATGCACCAGATTTTGTACTCTCCAGTTTTAGTAAGTCAACTCCTTTCGTTTCTATAACAGCACTTATATGCTGGGAAATTAAACTGTACTCATTAAAAATAACTAATCAGAAAACACATTTTGATACACTAATGTAAAAAGTGTCATTAATCAAAATATTTACTAAATTGTGAAGCCCATATTAGTGACATCACTAAGCCAAGAGTATATGTGTGACCACAGTCCTCACCTGTATTGAAGGAAGGGTCTTGGTTTGATCATTGCTGCTTTCCCCCAGGATGCTCCCGGCAGACCTACCCTCGCACTTGTACCGGAAGCGCATTCCCCGCTGCTTTGGCTGTTCCTTGATTATCAGGGTGGGTAGTGCAGAGGTCTGGCATGGTTGCCATTCAGGGGAAACAGTTGGTTCTGCTGGGAGTTGGTTGATGGTAACTGTATCAAGGAGACCTCCACATGGAACATGATCGGGTAACATAGGAAAGGAGACCATATCGCTCTGCGTTCTTGTATTTACAGAATCATTGCTTATTAACTCCATAACATCATCTGTCAGAAGAAAACAGGAGGTTGGGTTGGACCAAGGGTAAAGAACTGAATAAGAACTTAATTGAAGGGTGGTAATCACCAGGACTGATGGTCCAGTATAGATGCAAATCAAATTAATATGTAGGCAAAGGCAGCTGCACTCAAAACTGAAATCAATGTTGGGTTGACACTTGTAGAATGAATTCCTCTCAGTCTCAAAATTCTAGACTTCCCTAAAGTATTTCCACCACCTCCAACAAGGCCAATAAAGGCAACAAGGTCCTAAAAGGTGCCACTGTCAATGTTGGAACCCTCTAGTCCTTTCTTAAAGAAGAATTCCAGTTATTAATATTTGTACATAATTACACAAAGTAAAAAGTGCTTAATATATGTCTTTGTGTATGCTTTAACAGTAACTGCAATGGAATCAGTGAAAAACGTTGACTAAGGGGACTGCACATAGCACTTAGTTGACCGGCTGCAAAATCCAAACTAGTCATTATAGTGACAGGATGTGGTTCATGTTTTCTGCTGGACAGCTCCATCTAATGCAAACAGAACAGTCAAAGACTGTATCAACCTTTTTGTAGAAGTTAAAGAACAAAGAGCACTTCAAATACCAAAACTGGTAAATATCATAGGATGGAATTACTGTTATTACTCTCACTGGGGACCATAACAATACAGATTGTTTTACTGACATGACAGGCTAGGACAACTCACTATGCAATAATACCAGATAAAGTTTTTGTACATTGATACGTTGGCTCTGTCCCAACCCTATGATTGTTTCATCTAATGGCACGACACCAACAACATCTTCCTTCTGGTTCTGCTGTAGAGGCTGTCAATGCAATAGGTGTAACCCTCTCATTGACATAAATGTGAGTTGTTGCTAAAATATCTAAAGGAAGAAGTATATGCAATGTGACATGTAGATAAATGAATCCTTGAAAAATTGTTTGACTGAAGATTGAGGTTCCCTTTAAAGGCCTACTATTACCGAAACAAAATACAATGTATTATCTATATATCTGGTAAATTCTGCAGATAAATAGTAATTGAAAATTAAAATGTGCAGAACATGCCGTCTGTCCAAGCTTTTGCATAGAAATATATTAACCTCTCTGGCGGTCTGATTATGTCAATATTTTTGAATGTCAAAGCGGTACATTGTTTTGCATGGAAATTTCAGTGTCTGATGACGAATTTCCCCACGAATCACTATCGCTCAATGCTGCAAGTGATTCTAATTCACTATCGCTGTTTTCTAGCTGGTCTAAAACCTCTTTTGACCTAAAGGGACGCTTATTGGACACCATGGACGTTCTCAAGTTTCCTGGCAGAAAGAACAGTAAAGGTGCAGGCAGGGAGCTGGACAAAGCACTAGGGACAAAACTGAGGTGAAATGGTTTGATACAGTAATGTAATACTAACAGATTACAATGTATTGTGTGTATGTCTTGTTTTTACTTTTTTGAATCTCCTGCCGGTTCCACTCCCATGCGTCACGGTACTCGCAGGGAAGGGAACCCGGAAGAAGGATTCTGGCATCAGCCAGAGAAGACAGTGGGAGGACATCGGATATCGCAGGGACAAGGTAAATTACACTACAAACACACTGCAGTGTAATCCGGAGTGTGGCTCATGGTTACCGCTTTTGGTACTGAAAATGAACCCCGAGCCACACTCTGGATTACTGCTAGGGAGGTTAAATCAAGTGTTCATTTTAATAACATAAGGATTTAGCTCATGCACATGGGCTCACATCTCACATGTGTACATTTGTTTACATATCTGAATGCAGCTCTAGGTTATCAGGAGCTGTGTTCAGCTGTGTAACAAACACAAAAAACAGAAAGATGTGCATCCAAAGTCCTGCACATGGACTGCATGTAATGCTGCACACGTAAAAATTTGTGCTAACATTTAGATGCACACTGCATTAGCATAAAGGTTCACTAATGGCCCTGAATGGCAATCTAGGACACTAGGCAGAAGGAGCCACCTGCCTCCTAGCAACCAAGGAGGCTACTCTGGTGCAGGAGCCACCTGCATCCTAGCAACCAAGGCTAGGTGGCAAAAGCCACTGCATCCTGGCTAATAAAACACAAACATTACATGCATACAGTGTATAGACAAGGGTGAATCTTGAATATGTAAAATGATACGTCAGTGTGCATGAGCCCGGTATTATTCTAACAAATCATAGCATATGAAGCACGTAAAGCCTTTGTAGTTTTGCCCCCATAGTTCCCACGTCTTTGTCCCCATAGAACACTTAAAGGTTGCTGTAAAAATATGGCTGCCACATGATTAAACCTGCCCATAGATGGATCACAATTTGGTCAGTTCAGCACGGACCAGCTGAATTTTGATTCATCTATGGCCATTTTGGCTCAATAAAAGTTAATCTAACAATCTACTTCTGTGAACAGGACTGTTGGAAAACGTTTGTCAATCAGCAGCTTGCAGTGGAGTTCTGCTGCTGTTTTCGAACACCGTGCATTTTGCATGTGTGGATGGTGGAATCCGTATGGTTGATGACTGAAAAAAAAAAAAAAAAAAAAAAAAAAAAAAAAGAAAAGAGAACCATCTATGGCCAGCCTTACTAAAAGAGAGACCATTTAAAGGCTCAGGAACCCTTTGCAGGTGTTATGACTTAATTATCTGATTAGAGTGGGACACTTTGAGCCTAGAATATTGCACCTTTTCACAATATTCTAATTTTCTGAGATTGTGGACTTGGGGTTTTCATGAGCTGTAAGCCATAATCATCACAATTATGACAAATCATGGCTTGAACTATCTTGCTTTGCATGTAATGAGTCTATCTCATATATTAGTTTCACCTTTTAAGTTGCATTACTGAAATAAATGAACTTTTGCATGATATTCTAATTTTTCGAGTTTCACCTGTATATACCGCCGTTTGTAGATGCTATAACTTTCATGTAAACAAATTACTTTACATGTATTGGAATTTTTTTTTAGCAAAGACATGTAGCAGAATACATTTTGGCCTAAATTTCTGAAGAAATCAGATTTTTTAAACTTTTTTACTGGATATGTTTTATAGCAAAAAGTCAAAAATATTGTTTTGTTTTTCAAAATTGTTGGTCTTTGTTTATGGTGCAAGAAAGAAAAAAAAAAAAACACACAGGTGATCAAATACCACCGAAAGAAAGCTCTATTTGTGGGGGAAAAAAAAGGACATAAATTTCATTTATGTACAGTGCTGAATGACCGCAATTGTCAGTTAAAGTAACACAGCGCCTTATCGCAAAAAATGGCCTGGTCAGGAAGGGGGCTAAATCCTCTGGAGGACAAGTGGTTAAAATGTCTCCACTGCACCCTAGGAGCCTCCAACATTCCTGTACAAACCTGGCCCAGCATACACCCTCTCCATGCATATTCCATATAGCATGGAGGGATGATGGGTCTCCTAGTAGGATGCACTTAGATTGTGCTTACAGTTAGCAGGTATAGGATTGTATCTGCTATTTAAACATATTTAGCTGAAATCCCAGCTCCAACTGAAACTTTCTATTTCATTTTGGAAGAGACAAGGGTTAGCTTCTAGAAGTTTTTTTTTTTTTTTATTGCCGTGTCTCTATTGTATAGATTTTTCTCACTTCCTTTCAGGATAGCAAGCAGTGGGAAGCTCTGCAACAGGGAAGCAGACAAAAGAAAAAATACATGTTAGTAGGCTTAGGGTTAGAACTTCTGAAAATGTTTTTTTTTTTTTGCTGTCCATATAGTGGCACCTAGATTTTCACACGTAGCGGCACCTAGGTTTTCCCACGTCTTTGGTAAGTCCAGATTTGCTTTAGTTTGTAAAGTTGATCATTGTAAGCATCCCTGTCAGTAGTAAATGGTTTGTCTCAACCTATAACTGCTACATCTGCAGGACAGCTTGTTCTGTTAAAAAAAAACAACAAACTTACTTTACTAGCCTGTGCATCAGGTAAATAAAAAGAAAAAAATGCCTAGAAAAAAAAACAAAAAAACTAATACAGTCATCACATCAATTGGCAAGCTGCAATAAAATAAATTTTTGCTTCTGGGTTTCAGGCTACGTGCACACTTATGCAGGTTGCGGTTGCTGCATTACTCCCATATGCCTTTCTGACACATTTTTAAAGCTTTTTTTATGCGTTTCGGTTTTTTTTGCGACGCATTTAATGTTGCTAGGGAGAGGTGTCTATAGTCATGCAGGAAACGCACCAAAAACGTGTTTTGATACGGTTCCATTGAAGTCTATGACACGCAAAACACAACGTGCTGCGGAAAAAAAGTCCCTTTCAAAAATCTGCACCAGCTCAAAACGCACAGATATGAACTAGATTTATAGGAAATCATGTTAAATGGACTACAGTACATTTCTGCAAACTGGAAAACACACTGAAATAAGTGTGAACCTAGGGTCATAAGTGCTACATATATCTATAAAAATAATTGTGCTCCACAAATATATAAAAACAATGGTTTTACAAATCCCTACTGTTTATTTTATTACCTGCTAAGCATTAACAAAACTGTTTAAAAGCAGTGAAGCATGAAAGTAAAAAGTGTCTGGGGCCTTAAAAAAAAAAAAACCCTTTATTATCGAGTCCTCCCTCCTAGATTGTAAGCTCCAAGGGCCCTCCTATCCCTCTTGTATTGAGCTGTATTGTCTCCTGTTATATTGTAAAGTGCTGAGCAAACTGTTGGTGCTATATAAATCCTGTATAATAACAATAATCTCTTATGAAGTACAGTCTCCTACGTAGGCACATCTGAACACCTCTTCATCATGATTCAGAAAAGCCACCATTTTTTTAATAAAAGAAAACATTTGTGAAATTAAAGAAAACTGTGATCTCTGATTCTGGAGAAACTTTCCCCTAATTCTGTTTTCTCTTTTAAAACAATGGTTTTCCGGAGCATTAGCAGAATTTGTTCTATTTTAGATTGACTTCCCTTTTTTAGAATAAGACATGCACTATGCAATCCCAAGGAGTGAACTAGTCTGCCATGTC